CAAAAAAGGTTTCTTAGGATCCTAAACTTTTAAACAATTTTAAACCCTTATGTTATGATAATTTAATATAATTAATTTGTTAATTCTATTTATCATAATGGTGGTGTGCTATGTTTTAGTAATATCAAGGTAAACATTACACATACGCCACATCACACTCTTGTCATGTCACACCATGTCGCTACCACACGCCATGTCACACATTCATTATGAAATATGCCTATGCCAAGATTTTAATCATTGATCTCTACCTTCTAAGCCTTAAATCCTCTTTCTTTGCTAGTTGAACTAAAATACACTTGTAATTATTATATGTAAAATTAAATATATATTATTTAACTACATACATATATGTCAAATAATATATTTTTAAAAAGATATACATATATATTTTATTTTATTTTCAATTATTAATATGATAAAATAATTTATATGACTATATATATACATATTATATTTTTTAATAAAATATTATTTTTCTCCATATTTTTCTAAAAATTAATAATTAAATAATTAAATTTTTATCTTCTCACAAATTACTTCCCCTTATTTTATAAAAAATAAAATTTATCTACAATTTTTCAATTATCTTAAAAATTTATTTTAACCATATAAATTTTGTTAATATTCATTTTGAACAATTTTAAATTTTTAATGAATACTAATAGTTTTTACAATACAAAATAATTGCAAAGATCTCATATGTGATTAATCTAGCTAACTTCTAATTACTCTCTACTTCATAACAACAAGGTAGATTTGAATAAGTTTTCATATTCTTAGTAATAATTTGTTATAAAAATCTTATCAGCAACTTCTTTTTCACAGTAATGGAAACTTAAACACTAGGCAAAATCACACAATATCCTTATTACAAAGTCATTAGAGTTTAGCAAAATGAGTAAACATCATGTATACACTAGGTCAAGCATTAAGTGTACAATGTGTCAAGTAGTCTGCAATGCCACTTGTATCTCACGACATCTAAACAACTTTAACATCTCAACATCATTTATGTATTTGTATGTAAGTAAATATTAATGTATAACTTAGCCTGATTATAATTGAAAGTAATCCCCCCATCAAGATTTTAATTATATCATATTAAAATTCTAGCTCAATAAGATCATTCATAAAAAAGATGAGCTATATATGTCTAAAAAATATTACGTATAATACTAAATTTAAAAATAATTTAATAATTAAACTTAGGGAAAATTAATCTTTTAATCCTTCAACTTTTAACTCACTTGTAACTCAGTCCCTCAACTATGACTCGCTACAACTCAGTCCCTTAACTTTTGACTCGTATGTAACTCAGTACTTATTTATTAGAGTTTTTTAAAAAATTATCCTTATCACTTGTAAATCAACCCACCTCTCACCTCAGCTATCCTATGGGTACAAAAATGTTATTGACACCGTTAGTAATTGCTACTGTGGCTGCCATGTCATGTATGTGGAACTTTTATGAAATTAAAAAAGAAAATCTAAGGCAGGTTGAAGGAATTAGCAGGTAGGGTTTTCAAAGAGAAAAATAGACTCAGGCATTGAAGAAGAGAAGATGAGCACTGAAGAGGCAATGAAGACGAAGACCATAGGCAACGAAGAAGGAGAATAGTGGAAATGCCATGGAGAGAAGAAGACGACCAGATGCGATGAAGAAAAGGACCTAATGTGAAGAAGAGGATGATTCAAAGAAAAATATGAGAGCAGAGCGATAAGGAAGACTAAGCAAGAGCAGATAGATAAGTGCAGTAAAGGGATATTGGTAAGTGAGAAAGGTTTTCTTTGTAATAGTGTGTCCATGTGCTTTCTAAATTCAAAGGCCCACTTAAAGATTTGTTTGTTGGTGTATGAGTCAGGAAAATGCATGTGAATATGGCAGAAAGCTCTAATGGTCCCACCAAGTTATTTGAATATTTGTGTCATCCTAATGCCTTATAAAAATCATATTCCTTGGCTGGCTTTTTATTTAGTGGTCCCAGAGTGCGCGAATTTAATAATATATAGTGGTAGGTGACTTTTAAATGTTCAATGTAATCTATGTTCAGTTCAGTATGGAAAAAGATCCTCCTAACTGATATGTACATTGAATTTTGCAAGAATATTGATTCATGGCACCTTTACATTCTTCAATCTAGAAGAACTAATATTTCTTAAAAAGTGAGAATCAGTATTTTCTGCTGAAAATTATGGGTATTTTTACTGATGAATAATGATTTACATTTGCACTTGAACAATTTTACTCAATGAATTTCCCCTTTCCATTAAAAAAATGTAATCTATTTTCTTTTTTTCCCTAATGTGATTATATAAAGTTTTGGATACATGAATGCTTCAACTAACATGGGTAAGTGTATATCTTTGATTAATATTAATATCATAATATAATTTGTGATATTTATGTGATGTCTAACCATATGATAAAAAAATAGGGGGTCATGGATGGAGTAGTGATGGTTCAAGTTATGAAGACAATGAGTTTGGTAGTGAGGAAGATAATCATACTTATTTCCAAGAAGATAACATTCCATTAGATGACAGGAATGCCTTGACACATGTTGATGAAGATTTATGCTCCTTATCATCTAATCGCAAAACTGATTCATTAGAATCTATGGGTGAATCTAATTTGGATTTGGAAGAGGGTGTTGTAACTAGTAGTTACAAAAAGTATAATCCAAGTGAGATGTGCAAAGATTATATCTTTGAACTTGGAATGGATTTTACCTCAATTGATGAATTTAAGGAAGCTGTTAGGGAGTATTCTCTTAAGAATGGGTATGAAACAATGTACATTAAAAATGATAATGTGAGGTGTCGTATAAAGTGTGTATGTTGTGATTGGCTAATATTTGCAAGTAAGAAGAGGGATTCCATGACATATCATTTGAGAACTTATAATCCAAAACACACTTGTAGTGTAACTTTTAGTTCTAGGAATGTTTCAGCTAAATGGGTGTCCTAAAAGATAAAAGGTAGAATGAAGGCAAATAAGAATATGAGTCTTAGAGATGTGATATCCATAATTAGAGAGGATTATATGGCAAATGTGTCAGTTTCTAAGGCTTATTGGGCACGAAGAAGAGCAAAACAAGATATTGAAGGTGATTTGGTAGGTGAGTATAAGAGATTGTGAGATTACAATAATGAGGTACTCTTGAAAAATCTTGAAACTACATTCAAAATTTTGACAGAACGTCCCTTTATTGATAGACCACCAAGATTTAAAAGATTATATCTTTGTTTAGATGCTACTAAGATAGGATTTTTAGTAGCATGTCGAACAATCATTGGTCTAGATGGATGCTTTTTAAAGGGACCTTATGGTGGAATATTGCTAGTAGCAGTGGGACGTGATCCAAATGAGCAATATTTTCCTTTGGCAGTTGCTGTAGTTGAAGGTAAAAATTGAGATTCTTGGTCATGGTTTCTTGAGCATATTCTAAATGACATAGGACGAACACAAAGATGGGTCTTTATTTCTAACCAGCAAAAGGTATTTAATATGCACTTCTATTTCTTTACCTATATGCATCTATGTCTTTAGTGCTTTAACAGATTTTCTTTTTGGTAGGGATTGATGCCAACATTTGAGTCACTTCTTCCAGAAGTTGAGCATCGCTTGTGTGTTAGGCATTTATATGCCAATATTAAGAGTAGATATGGTAGTGGAACTGTGATTAGAGATTTGGTGCTGCAAGCTTCAAAAGCAACGTATGTTAATAGATGGAAGCAAAAAATGCTTGAGTTAAAAAATAGATCTAAAGAGGCATATGACCATTTGATGAAGTTCCCTCCACAATGCTGGACAAAATCTCACTTTAATGAATATCCAAAGTGTGACATGATTATGAATAATATATCAGAGTCATTTAATGGTAGGCTTTTAGAGGCTCAAGAACTTCCAATCATTGGTTTGTTAGAATGGATTCGCACTTACATCATGACAAGATTTCAAGAGAATAGAAAAAAGGTAGAGAAATTTAAAAGTCGTGGAAGTCATGGAAGTGTATGCCTAGATCCAAGGCGGAGGTTGGATAAAGAAATAAGTGAATCACGAAAGTGGGTTGCACGACAAGCAGGAGAATTTGAATTTGAGATCTCCTATTACTCACATAAATTTTCAGTTGACCTTGCTAATAAGAGTTATAGTTGTAGATGGTGGGACTTGACTGGGATACCTTGCAGGTCTGTTACAAATTTTAGTGTTGTCTTGGAGTATTTAAATTGTAAATTTACTTTAGATTTTACTAACACACTGTTGATTTTTAATTTCAGGCATGCAGTTAGTTCTATCTATGCAAAACAAGAAGATCCTCATGATTATGTGCATCCCTACTTAAAGATAGACACCTATGTTGAGTGTTACTCCCCTGTTGTAAAGCCAATTAATGGACAGGAAATATGGGAAGTAACAGGTAAGGAGGAAATGGAACCTCCATCCTATCATAGAAGACCAGGAAGACCTCCAAAATTAAGAAAAAGAGCATCTGATGAGCCTTCACAACCTAATAAGATTCGAAGGACAACCTCACGACTTCGTTATACTTCTTGTAGAAACTATGGGCATAATAAAAGAACATGCATGGTGGGAAGAAGTTCACAGCAAGACTCTGTTAATGTCACTCCCCCTTCACAGCCCAATAATAGAAGATACATTGTGGAAACTGATCATGTATTTTGGATGCATTTGGAACATCTTGTCTATTTTACATGTTTTTGGAACCTGTTATGTATTTTGGAAACTAAATATGTATTTTGGATGCTTTTAAAGTAATGAACTTGATTGTTATCCATTATTAAGGTTAGAAGGAACTTTAGCCAACTCTAATACAATTAAGTTTGGTACCAAAATCGCTAGAGGTTAAGGTTAAAAGGAACTCTAGCCAACTCTGATACAATTAAGTTTGGTGCTAAAATTGCTGAAGGATGAAGCTACTATATGCATCAATATTATATGTTAACCAAATCCTCCTTAATATAGCATCATCAAATTCATTTTTAAAAGTCATTAAAGTAACATCAAATTTACATTTCATACTTCCTACTTTCCTAAAGATTACACACCTTATAATACAATGCTACAGGCCTACAATCTACTGTTATACATATACATATACAATCTACTATGCCAACAAACAACCCCACTTCCAAAATATAATGTATCTTTATTTATTTTTCTTTTCTCTTTAAGCCTTGTATTAACTTCTCTTGCTCTGAAATGCTCAAATTTTCTCTTTGATCATCTCCTCTTGCTCTATAAATAAACCAGAATTACAATTAGAATTAAAACAAAAACAATTATTAAAGGGATGAAGGAACTTCAGAAAAAAATTCTCACAATTTTGAGGTTGGGGTATGATCAAGATGCTAAAGATACTAGGATTAAATCCCAATCTGAGCAGATCTAAGCAATAATATTTCGACTAATACATGCTACAATTACAACATGGTAAAAGTAAGTTATCTATTTACCAGCCATCCTCGAGCATGCAGTACTACAACTATAAAGGAGCTGAGAGCATCGAAATTCCAGCAAAGCAAAATTATCTAATTGGGTAGAATGGATATCCATCAACAATGATATTTACTTAAGGCAAGAATCTAATTTATAATCATTACAAACTTAAGTGACGGGAAAAGATGTTATCATGGTATGTGTGTATGTGTGTATATATATATATATAATTCCTATGGCTCCTACCATTTTAAATTTCTATCCATCATCACTTGTTCACAACCAAAACAGAACAAGATGATCTCTCAAATGTTAAACCCAAATTGATGACTTAAAGAAAGATATCAACCTTATTGAAGACCAAAATTTCAGTTACATAATTGATTTTCAATTGCATCTTGCAGCCATTTACAGTTTTTGAAAAAACAAGAGTTATAATTAGAGATTACAATTGTTCGAGACTATAGATCAATCAATGAGCTTTACGCATAATGTCCCTAGTCACGCACATCTAGTTTAGGATTAGACCATATTGAGAATGAAAAATTGAAGAACCAATTTGTTAAGGGGGAAAAACAAAATCTCACTGAATCATTCCAGCCGAAGAAGTAGAGAAGGAATTTTGAGATCCATTTCCTCCAAGCCTACATCAGTCAGGAGAACACAAGGAAAACAAATTTTCACCACCCAAAAGCATAATAGAACCCATAGATGATTAGAGACAAAAGGACAACGATTTACTAAATTCCAAAGCAAAAACTCACAACTTTCCCCACCTATTGTGTGAGGCTATCAATGGAGAGAATATGACTTGATGGAGAATGATCCGCAAGCAAGAAAGAGATGTGAGCCTTCTTCAGCGGAGAGGAAATCCGAACAACACGATGAAGATGGAGAAGATGCAAGGACATGATTAAGCTAGTCGAATAGCCCTAATCCTTTATGCAGACAAATTTTCTTAATATTTTAGTTAAACAGAAATTTAAATTTAAATAATTTTAAACTAGTTTCTTAAAATAAAATGTATCTCTTTTTTTTTACCTCATGCCGATTCACTGTCTATGTGACGCTTACATGGACAGAATCTGATGTGGCACTAACATAAAAAGTGAAAACTAACGGAAAAGGATAAATTTTATTGATGGTGAAAAGTTAAGGGACTGAGTTACAGACGAGTCAAAAGTTAAGGGACTGAGTTGTAGCGAGTCATAGTTGAGGGACTGAGTTACAAGTGAGTTAAAAGTTGAAGGATTAAAAGATTAATTTTCCCTTAAACTTAACACATCTTCATTACTATTTATTTTGTTTCTTGATCCTATATATCATTTATTTCTCATTTTATATATAAAATAAGAAATTTAATTTCATAAATATCTTTTGAATATTTTATTTAATGTAACATTTTTAAAATAACTCATATAAAATTTTTTTCTAATAATAATTTTATAAATTATTTCATATAATTTAAATTACATTTAATTTTTTAAATATCCTTCTAAGGGCAACAAATGTTGCTACCAAAAGTAATTCTATAAGTTATTTTTGGCTGTAACAAAATATTGCTACTAAAAGTTATTTTTGGTAGCAACTGTTAAAAAGTCACTGCCGAAGATCCACTTTTAGCTGCGACAACTACAAGTTATTGCTAGACGTGGATCTTTGATAATGAAATTATTTTTGGTGGCAACATTGGTCCGCAGTGATGTAATGACTAGAAAATTCAAGAATTTTTTTATGCAATAAACAATTTAATTTTAGCATTAAAAGAAAATTTGATGCAAACTTAAAAAAATAATATAAAACAAGTATTTAATATGTATTTGTCAATATTGTTTTTGAAATTTAAATTTATAAATGGGCATATATATATATATATATATATTATGTGTGTTTTGACCCTGAAAATAATTACAAGATTGAAATTAATAATAACAGCTTTTTGCGATATTTTTATAAAAGTTAAATAGATGTTACAGGAAATTGATGCCAAAGGAGAAAATTTATTTTGCTTATGTAAACATTATGAAATTATCAAAATACCCCTCTTGAAAAGATATAACATAAGATTTGGTTTCCTTATTTTCCCATTCATTCGTGTGCTCTGCATCCAAGAGATAGGGAAAGCTTCAAGACCGTTCTTCCTCTTCCTTTCTTTCGTTCATTGCCAGCGCGTTCGTGAAGCAACCATCCGCTGCCATAGTCGCCGGATTCTTCTTCGTTCCCTTGTTCTATTTTTCGTCACCTCATTCCTCTTCTCTGTTTGGCTACATTGTGTGTTGGTGTGAGTGTATAGGAGTTCCAATTATACTTTGTTCTTCCTTAGTTTCATTGATTTGGGTATGTCTAAAACTTTCTCCTTCCTCCTTTTCTATCAAGTGCAAGAGTTGTAGAGAGGGTGGGTTGAATTTTATTTATTTCCCTTGTTTTAGCTGCTGATCGTGATTGGGAGAAGGAGATGGAAATTTCTTTTTCCAATGCTGAAATTGAAAGTTGAGGAGTTTACATTAGATAGTTGCACCCCACTTTAATTGCTTTCTCTGGGTTGAAAAAAACAAGGAAGAAAGAAAGAAAGAAGAAGAAACAGATTTGGATTGGTGCACATGCTAGTAAATGAATGACGTTTTCCGTTAAAGCTTCTCGTATTTCTTTTTATTATTTAATTGTGGTACGTGATTTTGTTCTTCTTTTCACATTGCCTGAAATTTTGTTCTATGAACTAGTGCCATGTTTGTACTTCCTTTTTGAGTAATGATATTTGATTGGGTTTCTTTCTTTAGCTCAAATTGATTATTGGCAAGGAATTGAATTTGAGAAGCATAATAAATTAAAATGATAATGATTGGAAAATTTTTGGGAGAAATAGTTAAAGAGTAGAATGATTATAGTTTAAGCTTGGATGCATATAAGGTGTTTGATGAAATATTTAATAGGAAAATTTTAGTCTACGATAACAAATAAATATGATAATATATTATTGCTTGGTAAATTGTTATAGCAGGCTATTATTCCCTATAATGAAATATGTTGGAAAAAGACATTTGGTTAATAATTTATGGATCAAGCTTGTTTTTATGTTAACTTTTAAGTACATATAAAGTATTTGGTAAAAGGATAAGAATTGAATTAATGAATTGGATGTGTGTGTGTGTGATGGAAAATGTGGAATAAGTCATAGTAAAAGTTGTCTATTCTCTTTTAGAAGACTTATAAACTTGAATATTGTTTATACAAGTGTAAGTCGAAGACTTATTGGTTAAACTTGACATGATATTCTATTTGTAAAAGGTTAAAGGTAGAGATTTTTTTTCGATTTATTTTCTAAATTTGTTTGGATTGAAGATTTTTGAATTATAAGATACATATAAAAGAAATGACAATAATGTCCCCTTGGGTATCGGGGAATTAAGGCGCGGACAATATTACAAAAGTAGCTAATTAGGAGTAAATTATATATATTTGAGAATTTTTTAAGTAAGTGGATAATGTCCCAATTAATTTATATATTAGTAAATTTTTATTTTATCAAAATATTGTTTTCAACAATTTACATATATTATATATATTTCTCTTACATTAGCTAATTTTGTTAATTAAATTATTTTATTTATGTTGGATTGGAGGGCGCAACGGAAAAATAAAATTATAAAATCACAAGCACGGACCAATGAACTCATTCAAGTCAAGGTGGAAAGAAGAGTTCCTTTTATGTTTCAAACTTCTCACGTGTTATTTTCAAGAAGTTAGATCTCAATAGCTGATAGTGTAGATTAGTTCCCTCTACCAGTATTCACATAAATAGTTCTCCAACTCGAACAGTGTGCTAGCGCTCGAAATGTCCATCCATTTATTCAAAATATTGAACTACTTTTTCTCTAGGGTGTTTTTGTGGTTTTCATTGTATTTTGCAGTCAGAACTTTTTTGACTCTCAAAAAACTAATGAAGCAAGTCCCAATCTATAACATATATATATATATATATATATAAGGGTTTTCACCTTTCTATTGAAGAGCCAGTAAAAATATAGATTAAATTTATCTCATAAATAAAATCTATAATATCATCTAATTTGAATTTTTCTTGTAAATTCAAATTATAAAACTAATATGATATTCTTTCATATCATGTTTGTTATAAAATTTAATCTATTATACAAAATTAAATTTAAAACTAACACAATATAATGTAATGTAATATATCACATATACATATCATATTATATATATACACGGATATATATATATATAAAATATATATTATATTCAATTTTATATATCATATACATACATATATATATATATATGTCAATATATACATACATACACATGAATATATATATATATATATATTTAAAATATATAAATATATAAAATTATATTTTAAATTTTATATTTCATATATATACATTTATCAAATAAATATTCACATATATATGCATATAAAATTCATTCATCCTAGATAAATTATTGAATCTAGACACATTCTAGATTTAATAAACTTGGACATTATAGCTTAAGCTGAGCTGTTCTTACATGTGACCTTGTAGGCCCATATGAACTTAGCAGTAGGGTAATAACACTATTAGCCCACAAGTCAAAAGTGGCCTCTACCAAAACATTGCGACCACCCAATCTATATAAGAATTGATGATCCGATATAACCTAACATATAATCATGTCACATTCCTTTTATCACATGATATTTTGATCAAGTGTGAGACATGGAATTGTCAATCTCCTTTACTTGACCATTACTTTCTCGATATCTATGTAGACTGATTATAACAATGAAAAAAAATCCTTTCCATTGTAATATGCCATACATTTTCTTAGTTTTACTCATTGAGGGACTCAGTAATATCTCTCCATTAATGTAAAGGAAAAATTTTATCTTGACCACTCATATTTTTCTATATGAATATTACCAAACTCAATCATAGCTTTTATGATCATCTAGTTAAAGGTGACTTTTAGTTAGATCAAAATTTAGTGGTCATCATGTAAGAATTTATGATAATCTTAGGTCAAAGGGCTTAGTGACAAAGTTATATATGAGATAAGCTTATGATTCATACCATGCAGCTTTCTTAAAGTGGGTTGGTCTAACACCTTAAACCCTTTCAAGTGCCTATGAATTTGATTTATATCTTTATAATTAATCAAAGTCATACTAGTCTTGTTTTATTTATGATCCCTCATAAATGACCGACTAAAGATATTTAGGGCAATCACTATAGATCATCCAAGGATATAATTTTCATAATGAACATGCAATTAATATGACAACAAAGGATAAATTCATTATAGTATAATGATTTATCCTAAGGCATAATTTCCAACAATTTCTTGGAGTCATGACTTATACTTTTCATATTAATAAAAGTACTTTTACAAATTCTAGTATTCCTTTATTTGATAAAGCTAACTATGAAAATTGGTGAACAGTTTTTGAGATATTAGTTATAAATTTTCATATTTAGAAAGATTGATGTTTTTATGCGTTTCATGCGAGTTTGATACTGAGAAGAGAAATTATTTTAAAATTAATGATTTTCTCGCATATTTGAAAGTAGATTTTAAAAGGGACTTTATACAGAATACCGATTGCCAATGATAGTCCCATTATCTCTTGGTGCACTTTAGTTAATGACTAACTAGTTTGATTTTCGTGGGCTCTATTCTCATGTATCTTATTAATGGGTCTCGTATCTATGTTTGCTTTGTGGTTTCAGCCACGTCTGATTATTTATTCTCGTGAACTATGTGTCCACGTCTGTTTTTGTAGCATCAACCACATTTAGTTAATTATTCTCGTGGACTGTGTATCCATATTTGTTAATTGTTTTGACAAGTTTCTAAAAAATAATTTTAATTATTTGGTGATTTCATACTCCATTGGTTTAAATTGATAGATATTACTATATTTATTTATTTTATTTATTTGTCTTCTTGAAAACACAAGTGATAAGGATATTTGATATTATAAATTTAATGGTTTTAAAATTTATTTAAGGCTATATAGAATCTCTTAAGTTTATGTTTCATGAAACATTTTATATGAACTTGTTGTCTTTTTAATTTATATAACCATTATCATTTATTCATTTTATTCGTTCAAATTTTATTAACATTGGGATGTTATTCACTAAAAAATATTTGTTTGGTCTCAAATAGCATAAGTGATGATGTACCTTCTGCTGACCTTTGAAGGGCATATTGCTGGATTGATTAGAAGATGTTTTAATGATACCTTTCTTTTGATGTGACTATTTAAGTATGTGTTTTATTTAAATTTATGATTAATTGCTCCACATTAATTGTAGATAGGATTATGATCTATAATCTATTTGTCTGTTTCTTGTGGAAGAGTAGAGCTCCATATTTATGATGTTGGCTATATATTGTTGTGGTAGAGACTTGGAAAAGTTCAATTCATAAGGGAAGTTTTGCCAAAATTTTTCATAAAAAATCTAAATTTTTTTTATTTATATAAAAATGTTGTAATGATTTCCAATCGTATTTCAAATACTTTAAAATATAAAATTAGAGATTTTATTAATTAAGGCTTAAAATATATGTGTTTATACATAATATCCTGCACTCATCACATCTACCTTTTTTGAAGTGTGACAAATGACCTTTGTGGGAACTTTTTTATCACCATTAAAAGTCTTTTTTATTTTAATAGTGTCTTGTGGGGAAAAATAACTTTTATTGTTTGTCAACTCAATCTCCAAAAGTTTTTAACATATAGTTTTCATCTTTTATATGTTAGTACTTAAAAAAATCAAATACTTTAATCTTTCTTTAATAATTTTAAAATTCGTGGTTTTTTAAGTTTAATTATAGGTCTTACAAGGCTCAAATGTCACTTTCCAATATATACATACATCATGATAACTAGAGTGCAAGTCAATTAGCAATTTAACAGAAATTAAGTAGCTGGCAACATGAATGCTTTATTTATGTAAGTCATGAAGACGGACTTCTTTTGAGCTTCTTTTTTCAGATTCAAACTCATCCACTGATAATACGTATTACTGATATTACATATCATACACCAAACTCTGAACAAAACACCAGAACAAGGTTTTTCTGCAACTAACTACATCCATGAAATCCTCCAAAAAGGCTCCATGAAGATTTTCTCACGTATTTATCACTCACGTTATTTATCACTTGACAGTTGACACTGTCATTTTAGTTAGTTAATAATTCAAACATGATATGCTACATCACAACTAATTAGGGTCGCCTTTAATTTGATCAAGGTCAAGAACCAATCTAACAACTCGACAAAAGTTGAAGATTGTAAACACGAGGACAGCAATTGCGACCAAAGTAGAACTTGCTCTCCAAGCGTCTCTGAAGTATACCAACCTCAACGAAGCCATTGTACGATACCATTCATTCTGGTAATGTCCATTTAGATCATTTATGAGGTCTTTATAGCATGTCTTGTCCACCACAACTTGTTTGCAGAGACTATTCACTAGAGTTGCTACTTCCTTGTCGCTCCCAAGTTCATGGATAATAACTTCCTTCTCGACTAGCAAATCAACATCGTCTGTGGTGTGAATGAGAGAGTCAATGAAAGAGACATAGTTGCAGATGTAAGGTTGATTAGCATAGTGACACTGCTCAAAGGCGATGAGATTTCTTAGAACACATTCTGTTGTGCTGTCTATTTTTAACTGTGGGATTTGTAGACGAGCTTTGAAACATGTGAATTTTGGTATACATCCCAAGCACAGAAACCAGCTCAAGATTGTAAGTTTCTTGAACTGTATGTCAAGCAAGTTTTTGTCGAAGACTTTCTCGAAGCTCACTCCTGCTTCTTGCAACTTCGTTGCAGTTCTCAGAAGATTAGAAGATGACCCTTTCTCGCGCTGAGTGAGATTCTCATATATGTAGAAGTACCTGGTCAAATTAAAAAAAAAAAAAAAATTTACATTAATGTGTTAGCTTTTCTGTGTTTATTATTACGTTGCGATTTCTTACGATCACTTTTTCATCTTGGCATGCATCTCTTTCAATTTAAAGATGAAAATACGCACCTGATCATGTCAGTAAAATGCTTTGGTTCATTCTTCCAGTTATGTTGTGCTAAGCCAAACCTGAGCGAACAGTCCTCCTGGCACCGCTTTGGCTTCTCAACTTTGCTTTTTTTATAAGGATGAAAACACTTGAAGTAGTCGTAGGCCAGTTCGATAAACTTGCCATGCCTATCAGAGTCTGGAACCACAGTTGTATACAGCTTATCCAAGATGAACAACGGAATCTGGTTTTCAAGCAAGAACAGGTCCCTTTGGATACCTTTGTTCATCCATGTTTGTGTTAATATAATATCATCTGTGTGACTAATTTCTGGTTTTTTCATCATCAGTAAAAGTTCCATGATGAAAACAGAATCCAAAAGAATAATTTCCACGAACTTTTCCTCAGTGATGGAGGGAAACTTGTCTGCATAACAACGGTGCATAGATTTCTTTTTAGCTTCAACTTCAAGGTACTCTTTGTAGGCATTCATGGCGCTCTCATTTTTGACACGATCCCAGAAGTTGCAAAAGTATCGTTGTTTCTGGAGTTGCATTGGATTTAGATTTTGATCGCCAAAGTGAAGGGGTCCAATGGAGATCAACTGAGGAGTATAGGCTTCCTTGTTCACGTTCCGAAGGCTAAATGGGACTCTGTAGATGTAACACTCGGATGTGTTCAGATCTTCTGGTTTCTTATCTATGTTTATAATGTGACTAAACATCCGATGAATGGGGCTTGATGATTTACAAGAAGCCATTGATATCCTCACCTGTGAGGAAAATGACGAAAGAAATTCACACAACGCCTTGTTAGCTTGAGTAGTGAGGGGGGGGGGTGGAGGGGGGGAGGATATTTTCTGTATTTGAAATTTTGAATCAACAATTCAAAAAGAAAGCCAGAACCTGCTGGTCTAGGAATGGCCTATAGTCCGGTCCAGAAGGAGCCCAGGAGTTGAGGGGATCTCCATTTCGTGGTCATCGATACGTGCTCATCACCCATATGAATAATCCTGGCCTTCTATTTTATTTCAAAATTATCTCTAACGTTGATTTTAATTTAATTTTTAAATATTTTAAATTTTTTATTTGTGAAAATAAAAATTATAAAATTTTTAATATTAAATCTGAAATGTCTTCGATGCCTCATTAGATGATGAACACTACAATACACATCACTCTTCACAAGATTTGGACAATTTAGATTTAAGTTTTTATTTTTATTTTATATTTATCAAAATAAAAATATATTAAAAAGATCAAATTTTTAATAAATCTTTTCATCATCAATCTTAACAGTACATATTTAATCTGAACAATTCAATTTAATTTAAAATTTTTATTACTCTTATAAATTGACAATTCATATATACATATGTTCTGGACAATTCAATTTTCATATTAAAATTTTTTATTATTTTTACAATTGACTATCTAAATATATTTTAAATATTTCAGATTTAATAGTAATTTTTTATAATTTTTACTTTTACAAATATAATATTTAAAATATTTAAAAATTAACTAAAAATTAATGATAGAAATCATTTGAGGTAAAATAAAGCATCACGATCACCCCTATGGGTGATGAGCATACCGTGCTTATCAATATGATGAGCACAGAATGTAGATCCGAGTTGATGATACTATTGTTGGAATTGGTAAAAAGTGAACCGGTCAGATCTGACAAGAATGGTTTTCCACAACTGAGCAAGAACCAGTTTTCTTTTTCTTTTTTGAAAAGAAAAATCTTAATAATCCAAAATTATTCTCTATTATATGTATATTTAATAATTATTGATGATTGTAGTTAATAATAAAAGCTTATGCCACGTCCGGCGGGATGTAGGGAACAGTCAACTAACCGGGATAAATCAGTAAAACCGGCCAGTTCGCTGGAAAGAAAGAAAGAAAGAAGGAAGACTCTATAAAGGAAGGAAAGGAAAAGATATGGTGGTCTAGACTTTACTTTTTTTTTTTTTTTTTTGACCATGCATACTTTTCTACTTTATAGCTATGATTGTCTAGACTTTTTATTTTATTTAAAAAAATTAGAAAGTTAAGACTTGATTAACATTTTTCCGTAACTATACCTTATTTAATAAATTTCATCAAAATTTTGTTCATTCCTAGATGTTTCTTCTAATTGTTTTTTCCATCTCAGGCCTCTTGCTACTAAGAGATCCAACCTACGACCTACAACCTAGATCCAACTTACACTGATGTCTCATTTTATTTATCTATTTATTTGATAAAATATTTTTTAATTTCATTTTAAGTTATCCAATTGGACAGTTTAAATTTTCCTATTAAAAATAAATATAATTTAGGTAGGTGATCTAACAACAGATACAAATACAGGGAAACCCTAACAGTTATTTTAAGGTTTCTAATCCCATAGTAAACTTTATAGAACAGAAACATGGATCATGAAAGAAGAAGAAAAAGATAACCGAAAGCAAGAAAAAATAGAGCATATATGTCTGTTCCACACAAAAGAGAATGGATGCAAAAAGAAGAAATCCCATAAAACCCAGTAAAACTAAGTTTCTGTGTTTCTTCAAAAACAAAAGAACCAAAAAAAAAATGAAGAGAGTAGATATGAAAGATTTCTAACCCTGGAACAGTTTGTTGTCTCTTCTCAGGAAATGATCTTCGTGTTGCGTTCGATAGTCTGAAATTTGAGTCGTAGGGCTTAATATCTGTGACTCTCTTGAGAGAGAGTTGGAGGTTGGGGGGGGGGGGGGGCAGAAGATCTTGGTCAGGATATATGTTGGACGATACTGAAGACGAAGCAAGTGCCTGGTTATTAATTATATAGATCTTTTTGGTGGAGATGAATAATAAACTTCCGAGGTGAAAGGCCCAGGAATGATCACATCAACATTATTGAATATGAAAATTATTGGGATTTGGTGGATGAAAGGATTTTTTGAAGGAAGGGAAATAATGGCGACAAAAGATGAAAAGAAAGAGACATGTTTGGATTTATTGAAGAGGCCAGATTTTAATCTTACCGGCCTATTTATATAAACAGTTTTAGTTTAGTCTAAAACCTATCATACTAACATGTTTAACAAATTATATAAAATCTTGATAGGCTTGTGTAACATTTCGAAATTTTAAGACTCGGATTTATAAAAATAAAATAAAATAAAATATTTATAATTAAATTAAAATTTAAAATAATTTGATAGAGGTCCAGAGTTTGAATTTTTCTAAGCAAAAGTTTAGTTTTATTTGATTTTTTAACTATGGGAAAAATTACCAAAGTTGACCCGGGCTTTTATGCAATAATAAAAAATATTGGGCCATTTCTTGTAATTTTCCCCAAAATTTTTGACCAGCATTTTAAAGAGCAAACAGATGCAGAAAATGCAGAAAATGAACAAGGGAAGGAAACGCACAAACGGGAGAGTGAGAGAGAGAGAGAGGAAGAAGAAAGGAGAAAGAGAGGGAGTTAGGCTTGGATCTAAGAGTCTTTACGACCGTTGTGAGCTCGGCTACACGATAGGTAAACTCCCTACTTCAATCCTCTTCTCTTTCTCTTGATTTTCTTCAATTTTTGGAAGAGGAGATTTTTGAATTTTGATCCCAAAGGCTTTATTCTTGTAAGCTTTTGTTTCTTTGGATCCTAGGGAGCATGTTTTGAGTTTCTATATAGTGATCTAATGTTTTGAGTGGATAATTGGATGAAAAGAGATGTTTTGGACACAAAATAAATCCTGAGAAATTGGGTTTTTGCTCTTCAATGGTTTAAGCTTATTGATTTAGTTATAATTTTGCTATTTGAGCCCAATAAGATTTAAATTAAGGTTTGGTTTTCATTATAAGGGCTAATGGTGAAAGTTGGTGACACTAAGTGAAGGTTTTTAATTGATAAAAAATTATATAAATTAGAAATTAGCCTAATGATGGCTAATAAATGGTTTTGGTGGTTAAGTGATACTATGTGAATGGTTGGTTAAATATATGGACCATTGGGATGGATTATGGCTCATAGACCCAAGTTGTGTGGTATGAGTTATAATCTTCATTGATGCTATTTGTCATGATAAGTGATGTGGATCACTTATATGTTGTAGAAAATTGTTGGTAGAACTTATTGAGAAGTAAGGAACAAGCCGAGCCCTATTTTGTACAAGGAGAACCCTTTTGGTACCAAAGGGTTGAGGTAACAGGGGAATTTATATTTTTTATTACTTTGTTTTAGCTATTTTTGAATAAATATTACTAGTTATCATGCATTACATGTTTTAAAAGATTAAATGTGCTTTATAAGGGGTTATGGGGTACTACTTTGATTATGGTGCAAATATATTTTCTAATTGTTTAATAACAATGTTTTTATGGAAATGAGATTTATAAATATTATACTACTTTAGAGTGTTGAATGGTCAATACTCAGGAAAGGTAGACAAGAGTAAAAGGCATGATCTCGGTGGGAGTTCACCAATGAGAAGGTGTAGATTTTTGATATTCTATGGCATACTGTCAGTACTCAGTGTTGTCTTACGTATTGTGGGCTCAGTGCACTAAAGTGGTTAGTGTATTGAGTGTTCGACACCTCTCAGTGGAGGAGGGAATCCAACATATGAAGTGTGAGGTTGAGTGCCTAGGCTAAGGTAGCCCTCACATGGAAAGTAAGTTGGGCTGGCTCTGGGAGGGAGTTAGCTTTAACTGCTTAGGATTCACGTCGAAGGGGCATAGGAGGTTCGGTGGATTAGATCATGCCTTAGATTATGTTTTGTGCCTGTGGAGGTACAAGTAGGTATAAGGTTTACCTGCGAATTAAAGAGTGCCAGGGGGCATTCTGTTGGTCATGAAAGGCCATACCGGCCTAGGTCATGCATTCATGCATTTTAAATGGCTAAATTATATACTATGTTGAATTTATTATTTGTTTATTTGATTATGGCTTACTTTGTAATAATCAATGTAGATTTCACTGTTACTGAGACTGTGGTTGTCTCACCCCTTTCTTTTCAATATTTTAGGTCCAGGCGAAGGATCCAGTGGTGGACGGGGAAAGGAGCAAAGCTAGGGGTTTGCTTGTGATTTGTAAAGAACTGCAACCCCTTTCTTTTGAGCAAATATATTGTAATGTATTTAAGATTAGGGTGCCAGTAGGATATGATTATGTGTGTGTGTGTGTGTGTGAATATGTGTGGATTGTGTGCTTGTGTATGAATTTTTGTCTGTTTGCAGACTTGTGGCTAGGAAACTTGGTTATGGTGTGTGGTTTTGATGGATTTACTTAGTAGACCAAGTTTCTATTGCAAGCAGATCTTTATTTTGATATATATGTGATTTTATAAGCAAATGCAAAGTGGTTGCATTGCAAATGGTGTGCTATGGGCAAACATACAGCTTGGATAGAGAGAGTGGGTGTGTAGGCCCCACAAGGAGCTCTGAGCCAAGTGAAAATGTTTAGCATATGTATTTATATAAATACATGATATTTATATTGATTTGTGACCACTCTTGTATGATTTGTGCATTTTGGGGGTTTAGGGTTCATTTTGGGAAATGGCACCCGGGTGGTCAAATTTTGATGTATGGGGGTTTTCCATCATTTGAATGTTCTTTCAGGTGTTTTTAGTCTTATTTGACGTGTTCAAAGTGTTCCCACAGGTTTGTGACCATTAGGATGAGATTTGGATAATTTTGAAAATGGTTTTTACCAAAAAGCTGCACTTTTGCATCCGGGTGTCCAAATTTTAATCCAATCGTTGGATTTCTCTAAAATTTGGGTCACAAGTAAAACCTTTTACAAGCTTCGTGTGGGCTTTGGAATCATATCGATCGGATATCGGACGGAGAAACGACGCACTTCAGAATTTGGTCTGGAGGTGCTGTCATGACAGCATTAAATTGCTGTCATGACAGCTACAGTATTGATGTTGTAACCTGCATAAAATTTAATCCATCCGTTAGATCTTTTCAAAATTTAGTATGTTAATAGTATTCTTTAAAAGTGACATGTGGGATTTGGAATCACTTCGATCGGAGGTCGAATGACGAAACGATGTCTCCTGGAAGTTGGCCCAGGAGGGCTGTCATGACAGCAATTTAATGCTGTCATGATAGCATCTTTTTATTTCACTTTCGTCTAGCTTGCTTCCGCATGCTATAGGTAGAATCTATAAATTTTTTTTTTAGGCTTTAAATGGTTTGTTTCCTAAGTTGGTTTTAGGATTAATTCCTTAACCACACTTAGTTTATTTGATTGTGTGATTTTTGAATAACACTCGGGGCAAGTGTTACAGCTTGCATAAGGGGAAATCTTTTAATAGTTATCTTTAGGCAAGGCCAAACCTTTAGCAGGCTTAAACCAAGACCTTGGGTTGCATTGTATTTTATTTTTGACTTCTAGAAAATTAACAAGATATGGGTCCAGTAGTTAAGATTGGACACATAATACATTAGGTCATACGATCAAATCTCATTGGAGATGTAAAAAAATTTATTGGTGATTAATTTATAAGTATTTTTATAAGTACTCACTATATTTAAAAGTATATCCTGGCCTTGATAAGTCTTTTAAATTTAACTTACATAAATTTTTTTATACCAAGAAACAACTCATGTGCCATTTCTGGGTGAAAGGTGGATAAAATTTTCTGGAATAAATACTTTTTCAAAAAGTGGAAGAGTTGCAAGCACATGAGGCCAAGGAAAAAAATTCACTTTTGAAAAAGGGTGGGGGGGGGGGGCGCGCAGGAAACAAGGCATTTGTATAAGCCCCTTCAATCCCTTCAACATATATCCTCAACGCCAACGAATAACAAATACCACATGCAAACACATCCTCTAAAAAATTATGTCCAATTATTCTAAGCCAGTGTGCATTGAGTAGAGCTTTGTAAGTCTCTAGTAATCAGTAGAGCAGTAACACTCTGTAGAGCCACAACATTGCCGCTCCTGTTTTTTTCATCTTAGATTTTTTGTAATTTTTTTGTTATAATAGGAAGAATATTCATGTTAATTTGCTCCCATGCATCATACAATTCGTTCATTTTTCTTTCTTTTTTATTGAATGAAGATATGATACATAACTCAAATAGAGATTACACAACAAAGTTGAAGTTAGCTCAATAGCTTTTCTTCATCCATCACTTTCTTCCAAAAAAATGATGGTTGATCAAAAGTGTGAAAATCATCCATTCTGTCAGGGTGACAATCATAAAACTCTAAAGATATTAGCTTCCAAATAGTGGGCACAAATATTAACTTCCATAAACATAAAACTCTAAAGATAGACACCAATCCCTATAGAGAAGCAAACGAACTTGATGAAGAAGATCAAAAAAAGGGTGACAATCATTCCCATTTCGCAAAATAAGATTAATTGCTTCCACGCAATCAGTAACTCTTCAAAAGATTTTATCACAGCACAAATGAAGACCTTGCAAGATAGAAATCACCATTGTAGTGGCAGGCAAGTAGTAACCAATGTTGGCATTAAACCCCGCAAGCCGATCCCCATTACCATCATGAATGACTTCTCTACATTTGTCGATGCCATTCGTCCATTTTTCTTCATATCTATTTCTTTTTATCTTTCATTTTTATGCACTTGCATTTGGGAAAATTATGATAAAGGATTTAGGACAAACTATTTGATTGAAAAGTCAGGTTCATCACACCATTTGAGGATCAACTCCTTGTCCTTGTTATGCCCTCCCTTATAGCCACAAGCCCATCTTCTTCGGCTGAAAAAAACCCATATTCAAGTTTGAGGCTTACATTATAGGTTCAGGTAGGGCTGTACA